CGCAGTAATAAGTAGTCATAATTAGAAATATTATTCTGTAGATTGTAGTTTGTATAACTTTTTGAATGTGGAAATTAAAAAAGTATATTTAAATATTATTAATAAAATATAATTTAAAACTAGTATATCTTATAAGTTTTCTTCCTTATTTAATTACTGCGTAAGATAACACACACAGTTACTATGTTTTAAAATTAAATCAAGTACACCCAACGATATATATTATTTTAGCATAATAATGTTTACTTAGAAGTCTTAGTTACATTGTTACTAATTATGAAACAAATATAGAAAAATCTATATAGGATACTTATATAAAGATATCATTATGATAAATTTCTTAAACAGTTAAATAAACCACACATAGTATATTAGTATACTATATATCTGAGCGCATAAAATGTTATGTCTACGAAGTACTTTAGAGGTATTTTATGAGCACGTGAGTTTTAAATAAAGATTTGTACTATTTGTATGCCAATTGAATATTAGATTGCATCTCACCTCTGTCTGTTGGAGAAAATATTAAGATTTGTACAACACGGCGATTAGATACCGTACAGAGCTGTAAATTAAAGTCTCCCGGGCACCATAAATACTGTTACGCAGCCCATAGGGTGTTTTAGTTCCGCTCCTTTTGTGGTTGCTATAAATTAATTTGTCCCGGGGGAATATTAAAACACAATATCGATAATATGCGACCGCAGTTCCATTGTCTCGTTCTCCAAAACACGGGTAAAGCATTTCTGTGAATAATGTTTCTTTGTGGATATTTTTATTTAATCAAAAAGCGTAAAAAATCTGCTGGCTTATAATATGACAAGTATAATTTTTAACAAAAAATCCGACTTCAATCAGAAAATCAAAAAAACATTGTTTATACCTATAACACTCAATGATGGCCCTCGATTTCTCTGGGATGCCATCGTCAGATCTGGGTTTCCACTCCTTGGGATATCTCCTTTCTAACAAAAAAAGAATCATCAAAATCGGCTCATAAACCGATCCTTATCCGCGAACACACATAAAAAAAATAAAAATATATAGGTTCGAATTGAGAAACCTCCTCCTTTTTTGAAGTCGGTTAAAAAATAAACGGTAATTTACGGTTAATAAACCCGTGAGAAATTTATGCGATGATGAAAATCTAAAAAAAATTCCACTTCACTTTTTTTTACTTTTTTGTCTTCAATGGCGCCAAACATAAATTTTAAAATTGTGTTTCAATCATTAAATTGAATTATGGATGATGATGATTGATGAAGAATTATGGAAGTTATGGCGTCCAGACAAAAAAAAACTTTGAGAAATAATATAGAGAGATGTGACGTTCAATATAATAAATCAGGAGAAAGTTATTAGTATTATATTAAGGGATTTTAGGACAAGCTTTAGTAAATTGGATTGCTTAAGTCACCAAAATGCGTCTTATTATCTGATATTCTTAGAATCTAGAATAATACGAAAATTTTATTGAATGCAATAAAAATAACGTTAACTTGGTTTAAATTAATCTTAAACAAATATTTATATGACAATAAATTCATAGTTGAATTTATTTCCACCTAGTAATTTCTTTCTTAATATAATATCCTTATATACTACTTTTAGTCTTTGTTAGTATTTTTTATCTGTATATATCATGTGCAACTCTTTCAAATGTGCGACTCTTTGCGAATAAATACCAAAATAATTATTGCGGAACAAAAATATGATTGTGGAATGCCATATGAATAACCATTAACGAACCAGCAACTACATTCATAGTCGATCGCAGTCGTGAATTTTCATATCACAACACTTGTCAAGTACCCACTCACTAGCTGTGGTACTCGTGGCATTCCCCTCTATGGGGGACCGAATAATCAATAAGACTGTAGGTACCTTTGGCTGTTGAGAGGCCCAGTCATTACTTTTTTCTGTTGCCCAATTACTACATTTAGCATAATATTACTTCAACTGAAACAAAAGTGAATATGACATATCTAAATTTAAATAAGTAGTTATTAAAATAATTGTTTAATTAATCGATAATATTTGTTACTAGTTAATTTATGTGTACCTTTCAGGTAACTTATGTTTATATGTAAAACATATGAGGGCATTCAATATTAAAAAATAACACTAATGTTTCCTTTAAATCTTAATATTATAACTTACCATACTTACTATACCATACTTAATATTATAAATGCGAAAGTAACTTTGTCAGTCTGTCTCGCTTTCACGCGAAAAACTACTGAACCAATTTAAATGAAATTTGGTACACAGATAGTCTAGAGTCTGAGAATGGACATGGCTATTTTTTAATTGGAAAAAGGTTTATAAAGATTTCTTAAAGGGGAGAGATATTTATTTAAGGGCTTAAACGCGAGCGAAGCGTCGGGCAAAAAGTTAGTAGTAAAATAAAAGCTTGTAAAATACACATTTCACACATATAAAAAATATATGTTAAAACCAAGTGGTATACTGCTTGCATTTTCATAAGCTTGTTGTGGAAAAGTTTTCTAGAAAAGATGTGTCCTCTCAATCGGTTCATAATAAGAGTATCTTCGAGGGGAGAATGAATAGTAAATATTGAGGTATTTACTGATGCTATTGCTTCTAATCTCTATGGACTTTATTTCATTAAAAAAATTATCATTTTTCAACAGTGCATATTGGCCTGGGAACAGTTTAAAATTGTCTATAATAAGTTTGGAGCGAATCCAAGTTTGAACGTTACCAAATATCCGCCCTAAATTTCAAAATACTTCTTCAATGCAAATTAAACATCTATATGTTTTTTAAATATATATATAATATACCTGATTGTATTTTAACAAACAAGATAACAGCTTGTTGTGTGTGTGTGTGTGTAAATTAAGATGAAATGCAATTCTCTTACGTGTTTGAAATGTATAGTTTTTTGAAACATAATTATATATATTACATACATACTATCATACATTATATATACGATAATATTTAAGATATCTCTTGAGCTTTCTTGAGCGTCTACTCGTAGGTTAAGAACAAAAATTTCCAATAATATAATATAACTAATATACTATAACCAATAATATAATATAATATAACTGACAATTGTATTCACGATATTTATTTTGTGATATTTAAAGAAACTTAATTTAACTAGAAAACAAATACTAGAAATTATGATATAAATTTTAGTTTAATATCATTCTCTTTTAAAAACCGTACATAATTATCTGCGAAAAATAATTATTTATTGTAAAATTATGGTATAAAACAGTGTTATTCGTTTTACTTGTACTTAATTTTCAACATATTAGATATTAATTATTACAATTATGTCTTTACGTCGGTTGAAACAAGCCCAATATTACCTTTTTTTATTATGAACCTTACGAAGCCAATAATAGTATTATAATATTTAAATGAATTTTACAATGACTTGGATTCACTTTGAACACAGCATAAAAGTATTTTCACTCATGTATACAAAACATACTGTAAACTTAAATTATTAACGCCATAAGAGTATCTAAGCGAAAAATTTTTCATTTCTCATCGCATACCATTAATCTCGTTTAACTGTAGTCCATCAAACTGGCGGAGATTTGCTGCGATCAACTCCGCTCACATATTTCAGCGATTTTTCACATCCTTATTTGCCCGCCTTGAAAACGTGCGAAAGATTTGTATTTCTGATTTATCCACAGTTACCCGAACCGAAGCTCGTTTTGAATTGTTGAATTATACCTTTTAACTAAAAAATATTTATTTAAATCGGATATCGATTCCATGAGCGGATAGTCTGTGAACTTTTTAAGCGTTTTCACTAATGATGTGAACTTGCAAAAATACCGTACGTACGTCGCCTGGAAAGCGTAGGTCCGGTAATAGGAAACCAATTCATTAAAAGATTCCGTTAAGGAAGGAAATAGCCATCGGGAAAGTGATGAATATTACTTGAATGCCAATGAGGCAAAACGAAACCTATATTAATAACATAACAGTACCAATATATGTTACCAGAACCTGTAGGTGTCAGAATCAAATTAATAATTAATGAGATATGACACTGTGTTGTCCTAGGTCAGTGTCCAGGCGCTCGCTTTTAATTCATTATACTCTAGCAATCTGAGTTCAAGTCCATCGGTCATCGAATGGCTCCAATAAAATGGTTAATTTTCATGTAATCAACGGTGAAGGAAAATACTGTGAAGAAACCTGGATATTTTCGAAATGATAACAAAAAATATATTTCGAAAATATGTAAGTCAGCCAATCCGCAGTAGGGTTGCGTGGTGGACTATGCCCTAAAGTATAGGCTGTATCTGTTCTTTACTTTTTACTACTAAGGAATCGTACAGTTAAGACAAGTCCGTTACTAACGCGAAACAGAATACATTGTTGAGACGTATGTACAGATGCATTCGATAACCAAGTTTCGACCAAAGAAAACTTTTAGTCAACGAAAAGTTATTTTGGTTAATATATTCATAACCTTCATAATGAGTTCACATAGAGTTCAACAAAATCCAGTATTTTTTTATATAGAGGTAGGTAAGAGAAATATGCATCGACTTACTACAAAGGCACTGTGCTTTTATCAAAAACAAAAAGTAACTTTTCAGCCCATAAGCCTATATATATAAGCCTATACTGCCAATGTTACTGAGCTGTTGTATGATTAATGGGTAGTCACACTTTCGCACTTTATTCTATGATATTCTTTTGTGTAGAGGGACTACAGACAAGGCACTAAGGATTTGGGTCTAAGGACTAGGCATAATACAAGGAGCTACGATTTGGGGATTTGAGGTGAATGTAAAATATTCACAGCCGATTGGTTTCAAATGTTGAATCATATTAGGATATGTACAGTCGACATGTTTCGTATACAGAGTTATTAATTAAAATTTTAGTATATACATACCCTGGTGACTGTATAATTCAATCGCTATACGCTGTACTGCCGAATCCGGCACAAGCTGTTTGACTCAAAGGAGAACATTTTCCGGTGTTTACTTTTACGACGGGTGGGACATTATCGTGGAAGGTGCAGGACACTCGAGTGTAGGGGCCATCTTGTCCAAATTGCGGTCCGGTGCGAGATCCCCTTTGTCCGTGACGGAGTAGATCATAAACGTCGTCGTTATGCGATAAGGCTTACCAACATTTGTTTGCGTGTTATTTAGTCTGTGGAATTGTATTTTCTTTTTAATTCAGGACATAAAATGTAAAAGATATACAGTAAATTGGTTTCTAGACATAATCATTTACTAGCATCACGCTAGTTTAAGAAAAGAAAAAATATTAGAAAAGTGATATTCATCATCACAAATATTTTTTTTAAGCGAAAAGTTTTAATATTTAAATAAAACTACCATACATTTTCACTGATTCAGTGTTAAAACGTTAAGAACTGGATCATTAATATAAAACTGTACAGTACTGTGTCTTGAAATTGGTACTGTATTAAACCAACAAGACTAGGCATTATTACTTTGCAACGATAATTTTCCATTTCCAGCTTCATTATGATAAAACTTTGAACTAACAAATAAAGTGACTTCCGAGAACTCGCTCGAAATTATTTCTTAAGAGCTTTTGTTTTATCGTACTAAAATATTAAACATTTTAAAAGGGGCTTTTGTGTTAATGAATTATTTGAGAAAAGAATCTTTCTTCCAAAAGTATCGACTATAAAATAGGCCTCGGGGAAAATCATAAAAAAAATGTAAGAGGCGGAATAAAAAACTTTCTAACAGTGTCCATAAAGATGACTTTATTTTAAAATCTCCGGTTTCCATAAAATGTTTTTAATTAAAAAGATAAGTAGATGCCTACAGAGGGGTTTCAAATCCGCCTTGGCTTACATCAGTGAATATTGCCGATTGAAAGTTTCCCGTATAAAACCCACGTTTACATAGTCATACTTGTATTCACTTCCAGACCTTGTGTGAAATGAGAGTATTTAAAGGAAGAATTTTGAGCCTCTGGCATCTGGCATATAAATATGTAACGTGAAAGCATTTTGTTTTGTCTTTACACAAGGAATCCTAATTATTACTGACAAAGGATGATGACTATTTTTGTGAGTTTAGAAATATACCGAAAAACTAAATATTTAATATTTTAGGAACATAAGATTGGGGTAGGTACATTTTAGAATAAAAATTCTTGGTAAAGAAGTTCCTAGTGAGAAATTACAGTTAGAGATAATTAATTTAAATTAAATATATTTTTTTTATCAAAAACTTAAGTTTTAACTCATTATAATCCATAACTAATAATTAAGTTAATAAGGGCTACTTAAATATTGGTTTAATGGACATTTTAAGGTCAGAAACCCTTGTTATTATCTTTATTTGCCATCGAACTGGGTATTTAACAAGATGACAATAATGTAGTGTTTTGAACTCCAAGTTCAGCCATTACAAATAGCATGCAAATATTATCAGTTACAGACAGCTAATATCAAAGTAATAAAGTAATAACATACATATTTATGATAAAAATCATGTTATATTATTTGTTTATTATAAATCTATGTATTTATTAATTTGTTCTATTAATTAGTTCATATATACAATAGTACATATAGGTATGATTTTTCTGAACAATTTTATTTTACATCTCTATTTCCCTCGTTAGTCTGACTAGCAGCGATATCTCGGGCATTTTGCCGGTATCCATGTTTGAAACTTTAATTAAATAAATAAGTGAACAAACCCTACAGTGTTACACGTAATTGTTACAAATAAGTCATGAAAGAGAAATTATGGTCGCTTTAAATACTCAATCTTGTACATTTGACTGTATTTACGTTCGCCCCTCACGGCGTCGCTATTTACGCGTGCAATATTAAAACAAAAGTTCGTCTAGACTCGCGGAAGGCATCCATTCCTCAGCAGCAGCCTCTAATAAAAGTCTTAGCGTACCTTCTGCTTAGCGAGGCCCCATTGTTTCAACAGCGCTTTTGTTGGCAACGCCATATTTTACAAGGAGCGTTCCGGTGCGCGACGAGTTAAAATTTATGCGCGATTTTGGTCAGGATAGGGTGTGCATGTCTCCTTAATTCATTGTGAAATTATTCGTTCCCACCACTTGCTACACAATCTAGTGTATTTTACAAATACAGGGGAAGTAATATCAGTGGTCATATTACACAAGACTATTCGATAAGTTCCAAATGGGAGAGAGAAAGGTATCTTATACCAGTCGTCTTATGGGTTCACTATTATAAAAAGTACACATTTTTTACTATGCTAAAAAAAGAGAAATGGGTTTTTCGTAATACCATTATTTTTTTTTGCTGAAAAGGTTCTTCTCGGTTTTCAAAAGTCCAAGACTATGTTGTAAAAGAATTAATGTAATAATAAAACTCTTAAATGGTTTTCATTTCCAGAGTACTCTGATTGTCCGGGTGCTCGCCTTTTAATTGTATCAGGAGAAATTGTAGCAATTTTAGTGTTCTGCAGTGAATTGAAAATCATAATGAAACTTAAAAAAAGTTGCATACCGCCCTTAGCCATCTGAAAAGCGGTAGATCGGGTTAAAGCCCTTGATTGATGAAAGCTGTACTTAAATTTGTCGTAGACTAAATATAGTGCAGCCATCACTAGGTTGTCTAATGAGAGGAGACATTGCATCTGAGTGGAAGACACAAATATATTTCAGTTTTTATTCGAATTTTGAAACGAGAAACAAAATATTGCTGTTGTCTTATTTATGGATAGCTAAAAACTGTGTTGAACGCGTTGACGAAACGCCTTTTATAGATGAGCATGTCAAAACTAATGAACGTGTTACCCCATCATGGATCCATTAAATATTGCCCAATTCTCTTTGTTATATTTATACATTAATACGTGAATCAAAAACGAGAGGATGAATAAAGAAATAAAAAAAAAAAAAACTAAAAAAAACGAGAGGATGAATAAAGAAATAAAAAAAAAACTAAAAAAACACGATTAAATACTTGTAGATAACCATTAGCGACAAACATTGTAGATAATCGAACTTAAAAGTAGAAAATAATTTAGAATAAATTTAAATTATGAATAGTGTGATAAATAAAAAAATATTGTAGAGAAGTGCGGGGTGCTTGTAGTCAATTGTTATAATATTTTAATGATAGTATAGTATGTGGTAAAAGTAAAGTAGCACGCTTTTTTTATTAATCACACTATTTTTTATCAATCAAACTATTCATAATTGACGACCCGAATGGCGTAGTGGGTAGCGTACCTGCCTCCTGCGCCAGAGGTTGTGGGTTCGATCCCCACCATATTGTGTGATGAACATAGTGTTTTTCTAGTGTTTGGGTGTTTATATATGTATAATATGTATTATTTACAAAAAAATATATGTTTAAGTATGTTTATCATTTTTCTAGTACCCATAGTACAAGCGTTGCTTAGTTTGGGCTAGAAAATGTTGTGTAAAAATGTGTCCTAAAATATTTATTATTTATTATTCATAATTTAAATTTGTTGAAAATTATTTTCTGCTTTTTAGTTCGGTTATCCATAAAAGCGTGTTTTTTATTTTTTCTAGCCTATTATTTATTTTCGATTTTTTAGCTCTGCTATAAGCAGTATAAAAGCATATTTTTTATTTTTTAAACATTTTTATATGCGTACTTAGCACAAGGACTCTACCGGATATCAGATTTGGAAAATAGCTAATCCTGAAGGTCCTGAACAGGATAATGGGAAAAACTATTTTAATTATGGCATAGTCATGGGTCTTTGACGACTGTGAAAAGTTCGATTCGAATTTGATTGTTCAAAGTGTAATAAATACATATAGGTGAAACTAATATTGGTAAACTCATGCTTCCCTTTCCTATTTTTCCCGAAATCTTTAACTGTCTCATTGATGTATAAATGCCTTCAACCGATGTTTAAAAATGATTCATGTACACCTCCCTCTGCTCTCTTCTTTCAGAATCGGAAGAAATCGCTTTCTGAGCAATAATCCCTCCTATTGTACTTCCTTTTATATTCATTTATAATTTGCTTTTTATATATATATTTTTATTTTCGGTGTACAATAAAGTATAAATAAATAAATAATATAAGCGTGTTAAAAATAATTTTAAAATGTTCGTTTCAATGAGTCTATGAAAAATTATATTCATTTCCTTAATTTCGAATTAAATGATCCACGATCGAATTTTAACCAACAGATGATTAGAAGCCGTTATAGCTCAGTGTCCGGGCGCTCGCCTTTATTTTCATTTATCTACTCGAGCAACCCGAGTTCGATCCCCGGTGCCATCACTAATGAAATTGTTAATTTTAAGTGCTGACATATCACGTGCTCGGCGGTGAAGGAAAACATCGTGAGGAAACCTGCATATTTTCGAAATAATAATAAAAAAAAAAAAATTCGAAAATATGTGAAGTCCGCCAATCCACGATGGTGGACTATGCACTGATACCCTCTTTGCATAGGAGGCCTTTGCCCAGCAGTGGGACATTTATAGGCTATTACTTTACTTAGATGATTAAATATCTAGATAAATAAATAAAATAGACTTCTTATTAATTTAAAAGCGAAATTGAAAGTACCTTTCAAACCAAATGAAATAAAAAAAATCGTGTCCAACAAAAAACTTACAGCCATGTTTCCATTAGTTCATTATTCGCGAAGGTAAGTTTGAATTACTGAATTTTAAACTGTATCATTAGACTGGTGCCGTGAAAATCTTACCTCATTTCCTGTACAGACGACGCTCTAAACTTTTTTTATGGAAACTCGAAGCCAAGTGCGCGAAGAAAATTAAAATAAAGCTTAAAACTTGGCGAACAAGTTTTAGTATATCTACAAGAGCTGCTAGAGTCTCGTAAAAAGTGCTCCGAGCCCAGCGTATCGCCAGACGGTTTATTCCAATGAAATTTAAAAAGATGGAAGTTAGTGGGAAAGCCGTTATAGCTCAGTGTCCGGGCGCTCGCCTTTATTTTCATTTATCTACTCGAGCAACCCGAGTTCGATCCCCGGTGCCATCACTAATGAAATTGTTAATTTTAAGTGCTGACATATCACGTGCTCGGCGGTGAAGGAAAACATCGTGAGGAAACCTGCATATTTTCGAAATAATAATAAAAAAAAATTCGAAAATATGTGAAGTCCGCCAATCCACGATGGTGGACTATGCACTGATACCCTCTTTGCATAGGAGGCCTTTGCCCAGCAGTGGGACATTTATAGGCTATTACTTTACTTAGATGATTAAATATCTAGATAAATAAAATAGACTTCTTATTAATTTAAAAGCGAAATTGAAAGTACCTTTCAAACCAAATGAAATAAAAAAAATCGTGTCCAACAAAAAACTTACAGCCATGTTTCCATTAGTTCATTATTCGCGAAGGTAAGTTTGAATTACTGAATTTTAAACTGTATCATTAGACTGGTGCCGTGAAAATCTTACCTCATTTCCTGTACAGACGACGCTCTAAACTTTTTTTATGGAAACTCGAAGCCAAGTGCGCGAAGAAAATTAAAATAAAGCTTAAAACTTGGCGAACAAGTTTTAGTATATCTACAAGAGCTGCTAGAGTCTCGTAAAAAGTGCTCCGAGCCCAGCGTATCGCCAGACGGTTTATTCCAATGAAATTTAAAAAGATGGAAGTTAGTGGGAAACTTGCATGCGGGAGTGTTTCTTTATAAGGCAAACAAAAAACTGTAGCACGCCATGTCGCACGCCTTTAAAACTTATCGGCAACATGACGTTTACTTTGTAAGTAGATAAGTTATACAGTTTTTATCTTTATCTTTATCTTATCCTGAATGCAAATATGTAACTATTTATTTATGTATTATTGCAATTTTTCACATTTAATTCTATCTACGACGTTCGAATAACAAGGGAATTGCATCAATAATAATCGTGACCTAGTGTTTTTAATAATGTGAGCCATGATAGCTCAGTGTCCGGGTGCTCGCTTTTAATTACATATCCAGAAATCCGAGTTCAAATCCCGGCAGTACCAATTAATTTGTCAAATTTAAGTCCTGAATTATCGCGTGCTCGGCGGTGAAGGAAAACATCGTGAGGAAACCTGTATATTTTCGAAGTAATATGTCCTATGGCCTAATAGCCTCTGTATATAGGAGACCTTTGCCCAGCAGTAGGATTCGTATATGCTGTTTTCAATATTTTGATTTTTTTATTATTTCATGACGATCGCGTTTCGATTCCTAATTGTTCATGTTGAGAATAGTAATATAATAATAATGGTTGTATAATAATATTGGTGACAAAAAATTACAACACATGCTATCATTTAAATCCCTATAGCCTGCGTTAGTTTAGAACTGCGTTATATAGTGCCTTCATTGAAAATGAAATAAAAATGAGTCTAAACAAAAAAGCTATGATTGGATTACAAAATAATAATAATAATAAATAAGCAAGAAAATAATTAATTGTTAATATTACTCATTTTATTATTAAAATGACCTTTATAAACATATGATCTGTGGAAATGCATACTACTTACGCTTTTTTATATTACAGTGAAGTTTTAGTGAACAGTAAGTATTTGTGACTTATAAAAATATTAAAACTTTTCGAGATGAACCAATGAGTTTCAAGCCTTTTGATATGGCTAAATCTGCAAGAAGGCTGTCCATGGGCGGCGATAATCACTTAACATCAGGCGAACCACCTGCTCACTTGACAAATCATATAAATGGTAAATATTTAGAATTCTGTAAAAGTTAGATATTACCTTCACTTTTAGATACAGGCAGTTGTTAGGTTCCAACTACATTAGTCTTAACAGAAAACACTAATAAACAGTTGTGTTGCATTCTCGGAATTATCTCTGTAATGTGCGTCGCCGAGGTCAAATTGCACACTTTCCACTGAAGTCCGAAGGTCACCTTCTATGACAAATTAATTTATTGTATTATAGAACTCCGAAGATTAACGGTAAATGACGATTGTTTTTATATCGCTTCCAGAGCCTTTTCGCTTCTTTACAATTTATCTTAAAGGTTCACGGCTGATATGTTGATGAGTCGGTGCACTTGTGTGTTGAAGATTGGATACCTCATAGCACAGGTTTTTTGAGATTTGTTTTTGATAAGTTGTGCAGAGAATGTAATTTAAATGTTCCTCAGGTTTTTGAGGATTATATGTTGAGAACAAGATGCGTAATCTATTTTCATTTACCAGGACTGACGTTTATCCTTCCACTATGCTGCAAACGAATAAACCCTTTGCGTTTTCCGCACACTTTATTTCCTCCACACTTTTTAATACTTTGTTGTAATCAAAATCAAAATCAAATACTTTTATTCAATATAGAAGCATTACACTTACTCATTGATGGTCAAAAGGCTACCATCGGTTCGGAAAGAAAAGCCACTGACCTGAGAAGAACCGGCGAAAGAAACTCAGCGGGACTCTTTTTTCTCTATGATATGTTTTGAATTAAACAACACGGCGATCGGTTCAAGACTGGTTTAATTATTATAAGAAACATGTAGGTAGATGGTTACAGTTAGGTACACAGAAATAATTCAATCCACCCGCAACCACAATACATTACATTTCTCCCCTTAAATTTAAATTTAGCCTGTGCGGTGATTATAAAATCACTGTAAATTCTTATTGTGCCATCCCGCTTAATTATAGGTACAATAGGCGTTCCGTAGTCGGACCTATCCACTTTGTAAATAATGCCTTGTAAACGCTTGTAAACGTTCCAACTCTCGTTCGACAGGGAAACGCAACGCTAATGGTAAAGGACGGGCTTTGCAGAATATCGGCGATGAATCTTTTAAATGTAACTGAATTTTAGTTTTGAACGTGCCTACACCTTCTCCAAATACGTCCGGATATTCATCTTTTAAATTTAAAATTAAAGATTCACCCTTTTGCTCAATTTTATTAATTTTAATTGCATCTAAATTTAACTTTCGTAACCAAACGCGTCCCAGTAGTGGCGGTCCGCCTTTACCGATAATAAATAACGGTAACTCCGACCACCCGCTCCCACTCGACACGCGCACCATTATGTACCCATATGGGATAATTGCTTCCCCCGTGTACGATTGTAACTTAATTTTGTCTTTTATAATAGGTAAATAGTGAAAATGTTTATCATAAAATTCTTTCGACACCGCCGAGATCCTGCTACCCGTATCAATTTCGAATAAAATATTTGTACGTTCAACAAGTAACTTACAGTGATAGGGTTCATCCTTAACACTATTCTTAACCGCTAAAATGGAATCACTTTTTTCAATATAATTTTGAAACTTTGACCTATTGGCACTACCACTAGACACGTTTTTTGTGCACATTTGTGCCAAGTGTCCTTTTTGATTGCACTTGTTGCAAACGAACGCTTTATACCGGCACTTATTAGCTGCGTGACGCTCCTTCCCGCAACGCCAGCAAGCGGGCCGTCGCAAGCGCGCGGGCCCTGCACCAACGCGGTGCAGGCCGGCTGCGCCCTGCCCGAGTCCCGAGCCGTCCGGCGCTGGCACCCCGCCGTGGCTGCTGGCTCCGGCCGCCTCCGCATGCCGTTCCGCTGCCTCTAATGCGAGCGCCAACTCCACCGCCTTTTTGTAGTTCAAAGTGGGTTCCGCAAACAGACGAGAACGCATTTCTTCCTTTCGAAGCCCGGACACAAATTGGTCTCTGATATTTTCTTCGAGGGCAGCACCAAAATTTCAGTGTGTCGCTACATGTTTTAAACTTTGCAGAAAGGCGCCTATGGTTTCCGTTTCTGTTTGTCGTCTCTGTCTGAACAAATGCCTTTCGGCTATCTCCGATCTTCTGGGTTCTAGATGGTTGCTAACCAATTCGATCAACTCTTCAACTCTTCAATCTTCAGGATGTTGTGGGGCACATAGGTCGCACATCAATTCGTACGTCGCGGCCCCAACATGTGTGACTAACGTGGCAACGCGTAGTTCATCTTTGATTTCGTTCAGTAAAATAAATTGCTTTACAAGCCGAACATACGCGTTCCAGTTATTACGATCGTTTAACTGGAATTCGTGTAACTTTCCGAAAGGCATTATTACTATTTAGTTGCACAAATTACCAACACTCGTCGCCAATTGATATGTTTTGAATTAAACAACACGGCGATCGGTTCGAGACTGGTTTAATGATTATAAGAAACATGTAGGTAGATGGTTACAGTTAGGTACACAGAAATAATTCAATCCACCCGCAACCACAATACATTACACTCTACAATTATTAAAAGTGTGAATATGTTTAAATCCGTAGGAAGCGAAATATTTGCAAAACTTTGTGACCTTTGACGTTAATTAGATGCGGACAAGAGAATTTATCTAACAACTTTTGACTTGCCAAAATGAAGATTGATGAAATCCCGGAAATTGGACAAAAAAAAAACAGAGACTGTTTACGCTGATAAAATATATCCAATTTAATCTGTTTGTGCTAAGTTAACGTTACGTTAAGCCGATCATTTAAAAAAACGATCTAACTGACATAATGGATTGGGAACCTGACCAGTGCCAGAGGGTGGGGTTCGATCCCCACTACTGAAAAAAATGGTATTTTTTGAAGATTTATATGTTTATTACATGTATGTATTTATTAAAAATGTTTTCAGTAATAAACAAAAGATATTCAAGTAGATATGTTTATCGAAACCATTTGCATCTGCTTTGCGCAGTTCCAAATAACGCTGTGTAAAAGTATGTCTTCAAAATATTTATAAATTTATAATATATAATGTATTCATATTTTAAAATTGAATACTTACCATGCAATAATTTTATTGTATTAGTTATGAAATAATAGAAGTATAGCATGGTAATAACGAACTAACTAATCATTCCACGGAATGATTGAAATGCAGTAGTGTTGAAAAATACTAATATCTGCCAATGTTCAGTTGAACAATTTAACAATAACTTTATATGTAGGTATAGAAACTACAATAACTTTTTACAGACTATATTGTTCTAATGTATAACTTTGTGTGTACGTAGTACTAAGGGAATACACATATAAGTCTTTATTTGTCCTTTATATAGAATGTCTCAATTAACTGTAAAACAGATTAGGAGTTTTTCTTATTTCTTTATAACAATAACATTGGGCTTTCTATTGTAAGCACTAACTAGTCGTAAAGTTATCCGATTACTTTCATATATATACTGCTAGCTGAACCCGACCTTGCTTCGCTGTGGCATCGTTTAACGTTTTTTATAAAAACTTGAAATTGAAGGTATATACAAACACTCTCCTGTTCCAAAGCTATGTTGTTACAAATCAAGTCAGACAAACATACGGAAGCTATATTTTCCAATCCTTAAGACAATACATTTTACTTAGTAATAATTTTGATAGTATTTTACTTCTAATTTTCAAGATGTTATAAAACGGGAGGTGCAAGAATTAACAAATGATTTATATTATTACTGAATATTTACGCCAACGTTAATAAAACAGGCATTTCGATATTGAAGTTAAGAAGGCCTGTTATTAAACTTTATTGGAGCCCAAGCGTTTTCTATGATTCAATACAGAAACAAGTGAAATGCGGATGCAATAATATGTGTATTTAAATAAATGTCCTAATAGATCAGGAATTCAATATTAACATCTCGATTGAAATAATAAACGTAAAAACTATCCTACCACGTAAATTAAATTATAATATATGTTGTATAAATATTATAGTGATTTATTAAAAGTTAAAGAAAATGGGATACAATCCGTAAATTAATTTTATCCAAATACTTATTTAAAAATAAAATATGAACAAGGAAGAGAAATAAGATTCAAACTAGATCACCTTTTGAATAATATTTGTACATCGGTATTCTAAAAGTCTGTGGCTCATCCCCAGATAAGCCTACCATTGATGCAACAGTAAAAAGAGTAGAGTGACAGCCCATATTAGTCCCACACCTGGGCAAAAGCCTCCTCTGTACAGAAGGTATTAGGGCATAGCCCACCTCGCGACCGCACTGTGGATTGGCTGAATTCACATATTTTTATTTATTATTATTTCGAAAATGTGCAGATTTCGTCCCGGTATTTCCTTTTACCGCTGAGCACGTGATAAGTGAGCACATAAAATTACCAATTTCATTGGTGCGGACACCGAGATTTAAACTCAGGGCGCTCGAGTATATTCAATTAAAAGCGAGCATCCGGACAGTGAGCAGAACTTACAGCGACTTAAACTCTATCTGGGTTGAGTCTGACAAACTTATAAACAAGAATCCACTCGTCAATCAAGCGACCTTAATACCAGTTAATCGCTGATGGAAGTTTCTGAGTGCAGCGAAATATTTTGTGTACCTTTCGATAATTCACTCATCAATAGTACTTATTTACGTTTTAATTCAGAACGTGACGCTGTTCCGATACTTTCTTATAATTTACACCACCGGTGTAGTATACGGTTCCCAGATAGCTATTAGCAGGTTGCAAATTGTCTTCGTCTGTGGCATAGCCTAGCGTGGGCGGAGGCGCCTGTGCCTACGCGGCACGCCTTAGATCCGTTAAAACATAAATTGCAATTGGAAAGTTATTTTAGAACCGTGTAATTTACGCGTTGATTCATTATGGTTTTCGCACATGCTATTCCGAATAGCACTCTCTAACATCACTCTTACAACCGACAGAAGTTTACGTCATCATCATCAAACGTTATTATTCATAATATAACGGACGTCATTAATAATTGTGGTAGGTCCACGCAGCAGCCTTGGCTGTTGCATGAATGGGCAGGCTTATCCGGGTAAATACCACGCCCTCACAGAAGACCGGCGTAAAGTGGAAGTATAATACTTTCGCGTTTCGTTTGGTGAGTGAGGTGACCGGAGCCCAATTTTCCAAAGATTGTCAACGCATCTGGAACCCTCGGGTGTAGCAGATGTCCTTGGGCGTCGGAGTTCATTTAACATTTGGTGAACCGTCTGCTCGTTTGGCAATTTTTCACATAAAAAAATACACCTACCAAGAAACGATTACCTGGTTTTAGCTAGCCTGAACCTCGGTATTTCCAACGTGTCACACGACCGTGTATAGCGACTGGAGCGTTAAGGTGTTTATTTAACTAAACTTTAACTCCTCCACTATCTGTCTATCTGTCTGTCTGTCTGTCCGTCCGTCAGTTACCAGGCTGTATCTCATGAACCGTGATAGTTAGACAGTTGAAAATTTTACAAATAGTGTATTCATGTTGCCGCTATAATAAGAATTACTAAAAAAATTGAGTAAAAAAATTAAGGGTTCTCCCATACAATACGAGGCGTTTGCAAGGTAACGGTTGCTCGCATGTTACAACGGCAACATATAGGTTACTTACCAATTAGTTTAATATCGATAATAATGGTACGGAACCCATCGTGTACGAGTCCGACTCGCACTTGGTCGGTTTTTATATTCTACTCTTAATATTATTCAGTCACAAATCTGGTAGAAGCATTATTAAAGTTTCGTTCAACATCTCTACCGTTTTATTTCTACTTTAAGTAACTGAAATTACAATTTAAATAACAATCAAAGTTTCACAGTAAAACTTTTGCTATCTGAAGGGTTAACGCAGCCCGGGGGATGCTAATAATAGAAATAGTACGGTAGCTAGCTGGTACCGGCTGTATCTGAATTATAATTGCAGCTATCTAATTTATATCCGTAATCCTATTTTCGTTCAATATATGCTATTTATTCTTTTATTTAATCTTTATCGTACTTACTTTAAAAAAGAAGAAAACAAAAGGCAGATTTAATGCCTTGAGTCATTCTCTACCAATCAAGCTATGATGTGGTGAGTGAGACCTTTACAAGAGAGAGAGGTAAATTAACAAACAATAATAAATAACATCTTAAATATTTCATATATACATAAATATATAAATATATTCTAGTATGCATTTATAGTCTGACAGCATTACATTAGTATAAATGAAGACATGGCAAGACAGTCTCTAGTCTTATGTATATTTTGATTACGTTTCTAAACAATATTAATTTTATTTAATGTTGATTTATAACTTTAGTTCACTTGCCCATCATTTTTTTAAACTTTTTTATAAGCAAATATCTCGTGTATATCGCTACTCTATTCCTCCGTGTGTTTTCCATTCTTCGACCACTTCTTCCTAAAGACATTAGAGTAATATGCCACCTTTTCATGGAGTCGTTATTTAGTGTCCGAAAAAGCTGTTCAATTTCCGGAATCGCAATAAAACTTTGTACTCAACTTCATCACAATGCTCTACTTATTGATTATTCACGCGTGGACTATTTAAGCGCGAACACGCCTTTAAATCTTCCCCGCAGCCGCATTCTTGCGAAATGACAAATCGAAAAAATATAAACATCGTCCATCATGCAGTTTTTTTGTTTCCATTGAAAAAGCGTCACACGCTCGCTCGCGTTTCCTTTTCGTCGCAACGAGATCTGACTTAAACACCGCTTCCTAACCAAGCCATGCGCACATCCAGTCTTCAGCTCCTCGTAATAGGTGGCGCTAGGTGCCATTAATCAAGCGAGGCGGACGGGTTAAGCGGAGGAAATGCCCGTAAATAGCTGAATGCAAAACACGGGCAGTTGTTCGCTCATCAATCAATACGTGTCGTTTCGAGTTCGCTACGAAGGCGTT